ACTTGCGTTGTGTTTCGTGTATTGATGAGGTTTCCGGAGACCCAATTACCCACCTTCGCAATCTCTCCAATCCCCGAATTGTCAATAATCATCAAATTCCTAATTCCTAAAAGACCGGTAACGCACTTATAACACTACTGGTGTTTCATGTGTCCATGTGTGCCGATTGCTTACCATCAGATGATACGTCAGATTGTTTACGAGCTAATTCCACAAAATGCGTAGATATCAATGCCACCTCTGGACACAACACTTTATGGTGCTGTAATGTTCAATTTAGGTTTGATAGGACGTGTGGAATTGAACTGGTTCAAGAGTTACATAAAAAAAAGTAACAGTGAATTTTAAAGTACGTTTTTTCCCCATTTTCACAAAGATTTTAACACAATGTTTTCACTAACGGTTCATATAAGACTTGGTCTATTTTCGTCACTTGAATTTCTTACCAAGTTGTACCCATCTCAGTGTGTTGACGTTTACAACTGTAGCCAAACACCTGTAATTCTCGTAAAATTTCAGCAATAAAAACTTTGCAACCGTCTTATTACATAGAATATTATGTTCTACATATCATACCGGTAGGTATATATTTCCTTGAAACTCTAAGAGGTGTGCTTTCACATCCACTTTTCACTAGTGATGATATTACTATCATTATAGTAGATACTGATCGGGTTAATTACTGAGAATTAAAGTAAAAAACGCGCACACAATCGGCATTCAAGTTTAAAGTTTTAAAGCACTTGGATAAGGTTCATTTCAGTCTAATGGAATCAATATTGTCAAATCGATCAGAGTTTCTATCAATCGATTTCGATTATACTTTTTCAGTTTCTTTGACTAGACTAGTGCAGATGAAAATGCACAATCATAGGTGCACTCTTTGACCATCCCTCATCGTACTTAATATTAAACATTTATATGATTATGTGTATGTTTGTGTGGGTGTGTGTTTGTTCCTCTTTCACCCAAAATGGGGATGAAATTACACAAACACATAGCTACTTTTTGTCCCAAGAGAACGCAGGTGAAGTCGCTAGCAGAAGCTAGTATAATAATATGCGGGATCGACGAGTATTGTGAATGTGTGTATCTGTGGTTTGGCACAGATTATACGATAAGTTTATCTATGACTCCTACATTTAAGTGTCAGTTCATAGATAGTTTTATCATATCAGTGTGTCAGTTACAATATTTTGAATCCATTGAATAAAAATAACACCTCCTTATTCCCTTTACTTTCTTCAAGATATTTTCACATCCAGTTAGAAATATTTAACAATAAATCAGTCTGTTTCAAACGAAAAAACGGCTCGCCATAATTTACAGTCTCGTGCCGTTGCCCACTTAATTTCTTTAAAATATCTTATTTAATAATATTTCTTTTCTAAAGAATAATTGTATGAATTAAGGTTTTGGTCTATGCTTCGTGTAGTGAGAGATAAATTGTTATGTTATCATTTTTATTTGGTGGTTAAATGACGTATGGAGCATGCATTCGAACCTTTATCTGAGTGTGGTTTCTTAGTGGGCTGTAATTATACAATGGCCCAGACTGCAGACCAAATTTATGATCCCGATATAATCTTCAGGTTGGATTACCTATTTTATATTGACTGGGTCACAACTAACATTATAAAGTGCTTTATACGACTTTAGACCTTATTATAAACATAATTATAAAAGAAAATTACGAAGTCACTTTTATTTTTTAGGCAAGAAAAAGTTATAATATCATAGTCGGTTTTCATTTGTGGGTAAACATGTTACAGAAGTAAGTTACTCAACGCGTACATTTTAGTGAAATTAAAAACGCATTGCAGACTAGAACTTAATATAATAATTTTAAAAGCAAGGTCCGTGCAATATTAATATTTTTAAGAACACGTCCGCTTAGATTAGAGTGGTAGGGTCGGAACGCCGCCGCAGTCCGTTGCGGCCGGAAAGGAAGATTTACCCAAATTTCGAGCTACGTTAAACACTCAGTTTCATTTTTAAATATTTAAATGTACCCACCGTATGTGCCCGTCGGATACGAAGATACCTTAAGTAACTCTCATAGAAATGCTTGCTAAGTGTGTTAAAACCTTAATAATTTTACTCTAATGTGCGTTTATGGTATTTACATTGGATAGCAATATATAAGTGTAACAATATGCTCGCATTGGAAACCAAAAATAATTAAAAAATTACCCTAATTTAAGTTAGCCTCATTATAATTTTCGTGTATGTATTGCTGTTCTTATTTTAAATGGGGCGTAGCACTATGCGGAAGTGACATGCCGTGACGTCACATCCGGGCGTTGTTATGCACAGCGCAGGCGCAGGGTTGCCACCGGAAGCAGGAAGTTGTGGTGTTGCGGCGCACAATCTGGAGTTGGACGGCGGGAAACACTGAATCAAGTGCAGCCTGAGCTTTCTGTTTTATATATGAGAATGTAAAAGATATATGGCAACATTTTCATTTGATATCATCCGCGGCTGAGGTATTTCCCGTTGTTAGGTTTAATTGTTCTTATATGCGTATATTCATTGTAGTTGGGTGATTCTTTGCGTGTGTATGTGTGAAGGCGCCAAGGTATGCGCGTACCGTGGATTGTACTGTGGTAGTGCGGTCGTATAGGATAACTTCAGCGCCGTCTTTTTTGGGTATCGTCAAGTGATTGCACGTAGTACAGTCGACCATAGAATGTTAAATTCAATAAGCGTAGAAAGAAATGTGGTAATTTATGTTCTAAAACATATACCTAGATGAAGGTTTACAATAACATTGGAATTATGCATAATAGAAGTATAAAAAAAACAAACTACAAATCAATTACTTTAGAAATCGTCGCACATGTTTAAGTAGGTACCACATAGCAAAGCCATATAGCAAAGAACACAAAACATGTTTTTTAAATAAAGAATTACTATCATTTAAATTTAAATAAAAGAATAGTTGCCTCAAAAACGTTCATAACACGATTTGTTACGAGATTTATCTGCAGACATGTAGAGACGTGGATCGCAAGACTTCCAGGACATGTGTCAGAACTTCCACTCGAAAACTTGAAGCGAACAAAGAGTAAAGCCCTGTTCTCGTACCGTGCACCGGGAACAATTTTATATCTTTATAATTTAATAAAATGAGCAATTTGAGAGCTTTTATCATAATTAAGAATCGTATTGCTCAAGTGTTTCGTTTTAAAGTGTGTTTCGTGTTTTTGAGTTTGAATTGTGTGCCTATGGTTTTGTTTGTTTTTTTTAGGGCATAAACCGGTAAACGAGCAGACGGATCCCCTGATGGTAAGCAAACGGCGTCGCTCATGGACACCTGGAATGGGCCTCCGGTAACTTCACTCGCACGACGAAACACAACGCAAGCGTTGCTTCACGTCGGTTTTCTGTGAGGCCGTGGTATCACTCCGGTCGAACCGGCCCATTCGTGCCGAAGCATGGCTCTCCCACACTTGTATGACCCGTGTATGACCAGATGTATTGCTTAAGGTGATAAAAGCTTAACTTTGTAACGGTCGTACTGCATACCAACGTGCTGATCATATGTACTATGTCCTATCGTGTATCGCTGTTAATAATTATTTCCAATGCCATAGTATGATTACCATCTGTAAATCTCGGGTTTGATCTACGATTAGTCAAAGTTGTATAAAGTCCTTTGATTTTAAAAAACTACAAATATTTTTATTCATTCAATCTCCAATGAGTAATTAATAAAGACACATAAACGTTATCAGTACACATTATAACTCAACGGATTTTTGTTATGTTTGCATTACATGACATAACTTATAAACTTTACTCAGATTAGTCACGGTTTAAACTAATTATTCAATCAATAAAAAATACTGAAAACATGATAGTAGAAACCATGGTTAAGTGTCCTATCCATTGTATTCATTTATTGTAAAAACGTAAGATTAATTCTAATCCCGTTTCGATAGACATAAATCCTCCAAAGCCATCAGACTTATCGTTGTGAATTATCTTCGATATTGATAGATTCACCTCAAAATTCCTCTCCTTACCTACACGGAAGCATACAGCTGCATTTTATTCGTTATAAAACAGATCATAAAAGTTTAATCAAAAGCAGACTTTGGAACCTCATTTTTGCCCAAAACAGATGTTCGAACAAGATTTAATAAGAAATAAAATATATAAGATTCACTTCAATATTCTATCGATCTTGTTTGAGATATCTTAAAGACATATTTTCTGGAGCTATTCTGAATCTTAAGTGCTTAGTGTTCGAGTTCAATATACATACATTTGAAATCGTTTTATATGTGGGGACCAATCGATAATATCACAGATACTTAGATTAATTGTCGATTTAACAATATAAAAAAGTAATTACCCACCAGTAGCGGGAGAAATCCAAGCTATAACGGTAGTGGTCAAGGCTCCATAGACAGGAATTTCTGGAAAATACGCGCCGCGTCCAGAAGTAATGGCTTTCTGCATCAGGTCAGGATGGTTAGGTCAAGACCTAACCATCTAACGTTGGCCTACGTTTTCATCATGACTATTATAATGATTAGTAGATTACTAGGAAAATTTACTAGGTATAAAGCTAAAATTTGTCAACTATGCTTTGTGAATTCTGACTACTAAAAGTTAGTGTTCCAATCGCAACAGTTGTACTGAACTAGCTACTGTTTTGTGGCTAAAAATTGTGTCAGTTATGCAACTTGTTAGTTTACTACTAAAGTTACTACGTGATATTCATTTTTCGTGTTTTATAGAATAATCTGATAAAGGTTGGCATTTCATTTTAGGCAATATTCATTTACTTTTAGCTAAGTAATGGAAATGGAAAAGCATTTTTTATTACTGGTATAAATTACTTAAAACCTCTTTGCGATATATTGTCAGGTCATTAAAAATAAACTGACTTGTCAATCAACGCATCAAGGTAATTTTTTTCCTTTTGTCATATTGTAAACTTGTGCAATAAAATAATATTATTGGATTGTTAGCTAAACAACGAAAAGATTATGAACTACATTCTTCCTGGACTAATAAAAAAGAATCTTACACGGATATTAAAGCGTAATATCTATACTCAACTTTCTCCTTTGAGAAAAGATGTTCAAGTCAAGAATCCATTTTTGATCGAACCAATAGAATACGAGAGTCTTACTCTCAGAAAACATGATAACCCGAGACGTCAGATGCTCTACGAATTTGGTATATATGTCGCATCATGTTTACCAAAATATGTTCAGAAGGTTCAATTGCAGCACACAGATGAACTAGAGATCCTGGTGGCACCTGCTGGTATGTACCAAGTTTTGAGTTTCCTAGCTCTGCATCAACACGCATGCTTTGGCCAATGTTCTTCAGCAACTGCTATCGATGTACCGGGTAGGCCATATAGGTTTGAAGTGGAATACGACCTTCTCAGCTTCAGGTATTCTGAGCGAATCAGAGTGAAAACATACACAGATGAACTGACACCTCTTAAATCTGCTTACGGCATTTGGAAAGCGTGCCAATGGTACGAGAGAGAAATATATGATATGTTTGGAGTAGTGTTTACTCATCATCCAGATTTGAGGCGGATCCTCACTGATTACGGATTTACTGGTCATCCTCTAAGAAAGGACTTTCCTTTGGTGGGATACATCGAAATACGTTATGACGATGAATTAAAGAAGATTGTTTATGAACCTATGGAATATGCTCAAGAAGCACGTAAATTCGAGTTGCAGACACCATGGCATTACTTGAACAAGTTCCATGAGGGATACAATCAAGAAAAGCCTAAACCACCTCCTAAGAAGGAGGACAAGTGCACGTGCTAATTAGTTTCAATTTTGCATTACGTTGGTATAACTTATTGTTAATTAAATGTTACTTTGTGACAAAATAAACGATTGTTTCATTGATGCTCTAATTTTCATTAAAACATTGCGAAAACATTCAAAGGATATTCTAGTATCCGATGTACGATTGTACGGTATGCGTCGGACTTCTTTTGCAGATGCCTCGTTTGAATCCAGCCCAGTCTCTAATGAGCTTTTGTCCTGACACAATGGGAGCCATTTAGTGGAGCGTCACACATAGCTCACGATAGCTCCCCGGCCAGATGACGGCCCTTTCTAACGCCTCAATTAATAACTTGGAAATTAGCGGAAAGTGGCTAATTATTCTATCTCGATTTCATTAAGTGGCTTCGTAAGTTGAACTGGTGTGAGTTACTCAAATTGGATTTCGATTCCTCATTATTATGCAGTTACAGTGGGATTTTAAATTGGCGAAATCTTTCTTAGAAAGTTTGCTTGAGTTTCGTCTTTCAATCTTAGTTGTTTTACATTGTGTCTCTAGTGAGGATTATCGATAAACCCCAGGACTAAATTTAGATTTCTGTGTTAACACAACGTCAAACGACATTTTCGACAAAGAAATTAAAAATGAACTTACCTACCTCAAGCGTGAATTTGCATGTAGTTTTATAATCACTTACCACAACATTAATATAACTTAGGTAGGTTTTGGTTTTAACATACACATTTTTCAAAATCGACGGAAATCATTAAAACTAAAACAATATTTGTAGTAGGTTATGTACCTACTACAAATAATGTTGATTTTAGTTTAAAAACATTAATTTTAAAACAATCATATAACAACTTATAAATCTAACAACAAACAATAAGTTAAGCATTAGGCCAAAACATATTATATAGTGTCAAATTATGAAACACGCAATCAATGTTGAACGATTAATTACAGAACAGGCTTCAATTAAATTCAACCGAAAACCGACCTTAAGTCATTATTATTATTAAAGGGAACGATTTAAATAATTATCAATAAACTCCCCAGAGACGGTTGAGGCTGTTGACTCGTAATATTAAGATTGGCCAATCAAAATAGCGATACCAGTGTACAAAGAAGATTGTTGAATTTTTCCAAGTATTTTATCTGTGGGGCTCGATCATACGGACATCTGCGTAAGAATAACGGCAGAGTGGAGGATTGAATGAACAATTGGTTCAGTGTGTGTTGTGTCCTTCGGTGGTGCGCACGGCCGCACGCTCCCCGGAGACCGACGAAAGTTCACACGCGGTCGGAAAACTTTATCCCGACACTAGTAGAGTAACGAATAACAATTACACGTTGAAATATTAGTTTAAAACTCTTCTGGAATATTCTAATGATCCTTGCAATGGCTTTTCGTCGATGATTTGATGTTTTTACCGAGGTAAGTTTTGTTTACATTTTTTTTACTTAGATCTTTGTTTTTTTGTGAATTTAATGTGCGTTTTCTAATTTTGTCTGCATTTTTTATATTATTATTATTTGGTTTGTTATTGTTTAGATCGTATAATTGTTATCTGATATTGTTTAAATTTCACGTAGTACTTTGATATTGATTACAATTATACAAATGTGTAATTTCGACGAACAATTGGATTAGTAGAAACACCTATGCATAATTTCAGCATTTTTATATATTTGTGAGTAATTAATAAATATTAATTTAATTTAAATACCTATTATAATAATTTTTGTAATTAATTGAAAGTTCTATAGGATATGTTTTGTAATATTCTGAAGGAACAAATAATAAAATAAAATTAAAAGTATAATAATTAAATATTTTATATTCATCGTAGCAAAATTTGAAGTTATAATTGTGGCCTTTAAATTGACCTTTATAGTAAAGTCATAATGAATTATTTGAATAATAATTGTAATGCCGTACATCACAGATCACAGAATAAATAAAAAAAATATTATATTAATAAGAATTATAATTATTAATATTAATATAATCAATATACTTACATACATGATATAATTTTTTTTTTTCTAAATAGGTACACAGAGATGCATACAATACCTTTATAGGTCCTATGCAATATGCCACCGTATCGCCATATATCCTAATAGATAGGTATCATTAGGTATATCTAATTATGACTACCTAAATAGATAATTACAAAGGCATTCAAGACTCTTTATACACTTAAAAACTCTTTAGACAAATACTAGTATCCTGTTTAAAATCATGAAGGTCAATAATGTCGGTGTTAATGAAACACTTTCTAATCGATAGATACTATTGGTATTCAATTAGCTCTTATTAGTGTCTGCTCTCCTGGTACTTTGGGTTCTTAATGCTTAGGATACTGAGGGATGTTTGTATGGTGATTACAAGTGTTTTTCAAATAAGTAGTTGTTACTGCGGACTTGAGTCTAGTCAGTCCTGGGTTCGATGCCTTGTGCTGTTGTGCTACTGCGGACTTAAGAGACTTAAGTCCTTGGCTCGACGCTGTGTGCTGTGAAGCCCAATGATAAGGACACTAGACTAATCGAATGAATGAAAAATCATTGTATATTAATATCTCGGTTTTGCTATTAGTCTCGGTGAACTGGTGTAGCACTATTTTGAAAAAGCCTCAGTAGTATTTATAAATCAAAATATATATTTTAGATTTTAGTAATAGACTTGTCGTCTGTAATTTTTTTTAAGTAACTAGTAAAGGGATCTGGCAGCGTACATGTATGATGTATATTTTACCAATACTGATGAAGTTCTTAACTATTTACTATTACGCAGCCGCGGAGAATGTATAATGTTACCAGGATTCCGGCTCGAAGTGCAGGAGTAGGAACAGGGTGGAATATAGTCATTAAGAGTCTGAATCTAGGCGAAAGAAGACATTCGACAATATTCCCCCCTTAAAAAAAACTATGTACTATGAGCGCATGTCTGCTTATCTCTTTGGAGAACAAATAGCGTAGATTTATATTACACCTCCTAACACTGTTTTAGTACTTTACATCTCAAATACTTACAATACTCTTTAAACTATGTTTATCGTGTGGTGATTACAACTTGTGTTGTTAGTTACAGTTAACCCATTTTAGACTTAGTCTTCATAAGTTTTAGGTTCACAGTTGAATTGTTTTGATATTTTAAAATGGGTACGTTATATCACTTTCATAGCCGCAGCCGTATTGGTCTAGTAGAGATAAAACCTAGTGTTGAATTTGGTGTCTTTTTACTGTTTTTATTTGTTAAGCCATTTGCTTATTCGACCGCACTTAACCCGTAATTTTTAATAATATTATAATGTAATTAAATACATAAACACCAAGTCGGTTGGACCATAACTTAATAGATTTGTACAAATTACCAGAATGAAGCTAAATTTAACGTATGAATTACGTAGAAATAATACTTACGATTATCAATATTAATTAAATGCTTAATATTTATCATCTAGTGGCCTCTAATAAGCAAAATCGTTTATTCTATGTCACATTATTATTATTAGAGCCGATTATCTAGTTTTTATCTAGTCAGATAAAAAGTATCTCTTCCAGTAGTTAGGTATAGACTTCTTACTTTTGTTAATTTGTGAGCCGTAAATTATTTCCAAGTGAGTTACACCCTGTGCTGTTGAAATCAATCTATCAATCTGTTGAAATTAATCAATAATAAAATAAATTGAAATCAATAAAATATAATAAAAAATGTGGGAGAGCCATGCTTCGGCACGAATGGGCCGGCTCGACCGGAGTGATACCACGGCTTCACAGAAAACCGACGTGAAGCAACGCTTGCGTTGTGTTTCGTCGTGTGAGTTAGGTTACTGGAGGCCCAATTACCCTTCCCTAACCTCACCAATTCCTGTATCACTAACGATTCTCAAACGGCCTAATCCCCAAAAGGCCGGTATCGCACTTGTAAAGCCTCTGGTGTTCAAGGTGTCCATAGGCGACGCCGATTGCTTACCATCAGGTGATCCGTCTGCTCGTTTACCAGCTTATGCCATAAAAACACCTGTATTCACAATGCACTCAAGAAACAAGATGTTTAAGAATCCGAAAATTATCAACCAGATAGTTTAAAAAAAGACGTTAACATTATTATCATCATCATCTATTTTCATGGCGCAAAGAAGGCGGTGCTACGAAAATACTAAAATATAAATCAACCACATAAAAGCTTTTGTTTGTTGCTCAAAGAAATGCGATGAAAACAAAACTTTTAACAGACAAGATTAGACGAGAGGGACGTAACGTAGGCCGCGACTTGTTACAACTGCATAAGAATTTTATCTCAGTTTAGAAGTAATGTAATCTTGTCACAAACATTTTAGATTGATTTTGTAATTTCTACTTTAACTTTCAACCCCTAAACCCTTGATTAAGAAAAAATATGTTTATAAACCTTTTAGTATTAGTAAAAATCTTTTAAAAGGTCCCCTAGTCTTTTATCCCCAAAAAGGCTGGGCGCCTTTTGAAGGCTTCCCCCAGTCATCAAAAAAAAAAGGTACTGTAAATACGTCAATCTTGAAACCATTGACTAGATTTACCTAAAGTTCAACAAAGATAAAACCTTTTGTGGTCTCTTACGCCCATAGACCATAGAACTTCATCAAGAATACTACACTATACTAACTACACATAATACATAAAAACATTCCTAATATTAGAAAGAAAAAACTACAAAAATATTCGCCCAATTTCCAACATAATACAATTTGCCTAAGTAATAACTTTAGACCCGAGCCACTAAATCCTAACCATATTTTAATATCCAAAGTACCTGAACATTAGCTAAGCAACACTTGAAGTTACGCGTTCACAGTAAATCTACTTAGTATAAATGTTGGGGGTATGAACTAGAGTTTGCCGGCCGGTATGAAATTTCCGACAGCGTTTGAAAACTTAGTTCCTACAAGTTTAGTAGGAGTCTCAGACAGGTCTTTCAAGACAATGCACACCAAAGCAAGGCCTAGAATTATAGCCATTGCTTCATAAATATCGTAAGAATAGTAAAAATGTATAGGTATATGTGTCAGAAAAATTATGACAAAATTGAAATCTTAATATATATATTACCTTTTGAGATTATCGTCATTTTATTTAATAACAAAATTATTACTTTTGGTTTATTTTAATTTATACCATATAACAAACCGGCAACAAAAATAATATGAAAGAAGTTATAGGTAAACACTTTTTTTCATATTACTTTTAGCGGGTATATGTGTAGATTTTTTCTTTTTAAAAAGTATTAATTCACAATGTACAATGTTCAGATTCGTAGTAATCCGTTCGCACTGAAAAGGAACTGACGGACAAATTATATTAAAGCAGCTTTTAGCCTGTCCTTTTTACTTATTTTACGGCTATGGATGTAGATAAACATATGTACCTAGTAGATACATTTATTATGAAGAATTCACAGAAAATTTTGTGAAAATAAAGGACTTTTTTTTCATTATAAAACCAGAATCATTTTGTATTTTTCACTTTGTTTTATGATTGCAAACACGATCAATGATCGCCAAGTGGTATGGATTAACTAGTCGACATGTGAGATGGAAAATCACTTTCTTCTCATATCTTATGTACCTTCCTATGGAGCCTTGAATTATAAAATTGTGTCCGATATTTCATATAAAGTCCTTCCATTTTATAATGGTCCATATAAATGCTCCATAGTTATAGTCTGCACAGATATTTCGTTTTCAAGTAAAAAATAAAGTTTTAGCTACTTTAGAACAGTAGCTTTTTTACGTATTTTTTTTAAGTAAACAATGTTATGGTTATAGTTTCGTACCTGCATACCAGATAATTGATCAGACTGTACTATTCAAGCTAGCTAATGAAAAACGCGTATAACACGTCTCTCTGCCTAACCTTTCAAAGTAAAACAAGGGTGTTTGATAAACAAATAAAATGTCACGCATGAACAGGGTATTAGTCGTGTTCGAACAAAATGCTAATGTATAACATGTTGCGACGTTGCCAATAACAATTGAGACCGGGATTATTCTTCGACAGCCATGTTCCCGTAACCCCGGCTGTCACGCTCCCAAACATTTACCTTATTCATTTAGATACTAGCTTTTGCCCGCGCCTCCGTTCGCACTCTTCATAGATATAACGAGCAGATTTAAAAAAAATGATGTACGATTTTTTTTTGTTGCTCGGCAAATTGCCCGTATACCAAGTTTTAGCTTTTACCTTGAAAATTGCGAAATGCTTTATACCAACTTCCATGCCGAATTTTATGGAAGACGAAGGTTAGAATGAGACAAAAATAAACTATGTATCTCTCTATCCCTTCAACTATGTCCACTTAAAATATAACGTCAGTTGGTTGCTCCGTTTTACCGCGAAAGACGGACAAATAAACACAATTTCACATTTATAATATCAGTATGAATTTCGTGTTTCATTACATTTTCTGATTAAAATTGATGCCGATTTTAATACAATGCCGCTTGGCGCTTTGTAAATTAATTGTTTGTGACTTTCTATTATTATTATTATGTTTCTTTGGACGAGTTTTGGCTGTAGATTATGGTTCGTATCGGTGTTTTAGTTTTATTGAATTTCATTGAATTTGGGGTTAAAAGTTTTGTTGTTTTAAATAAAGTTAAAATTATAATTAAATGGTTACTATGGTTCATCGAGATAATATTTCTCTTTGTGTCTACCGTTTGTTTATTATTTATTTTGTTACTAAATACAAGGCTCTGTTACCTATTTACTAACTACATATTAATAGTCATTACTTTCCATTTCCTACAAAACACCTACATTTGCCTCAAACTAGACTTAGTGCAACTAATCACAACATATAATAGTTAATACACTCCCGGGACAATCTATTCACAGGTATCGCTATTGCTTATTATGTAATTAATAACTGAATTTGTTCCCAACTAATCCTAATATAAACAACAAGTAAGAATTGGATCTCACATGATGTAGGTAAAATCGAAGTAAAAGTTTGCAAATCGAAGAAGTCCTTTAAAATAAGTCAACCATTGGAATTGTTAAAAGAAAAAAAAACTTAGTAAAAATAAACCGTCCATCGCATTCAGAAACAAAATACTTTAGATATTACACATGAACGAAACATTTCATTAAAAACACGTACACTACGGCTTTCAAAACGCCATCACACTGCCATACAACCGAAAAGAACGATATATTTTTATCTAAACACGCATTGAAATAACTCCGTCCGTATCAATACGAGTGTGTAAGCAAACTGTATATTTTTTTTCTCAAACATATCTTCGCGGAAAAGTAGTTACCGGTGCTCGATCGCATCCGCGCTCATTTCACACCCGTTGTTATGATGCTCACAGAAACGACTGCGATAACCAGGAATAGTCGTAACAAGGAATCATTATTGGATCGAAAGGATTGAGAACTTCGAGGACATCGGCAACTTCGGCAACTTCGGTAACTTCGGGAACTTCGGGAACTTCGGGAACTTCGAGATTTCTCTTTTCATGTCACACGCATCATAATTGCTTGGAATAGAGTGACAATGTGCCATCAAAATGTTTATATTAGCTCTCTGGTTTTATGTTGATGTGTTGTATCATAAACATCTTCATCGGTTATGGAGCAACGACTTTTTAGACCGCGTATCCCTGTAAATGGTACCGTTAAGATATTAATAGAAGTCATAAAAAGATTGGCTCGATGTTTATATTATAAATCAATGGGAAGATTGTGTTTGGAGATTGTTTAATGGTGTAGAAGTAGATTATCATCTACAACAATCTGTTCTATAAATCGTAAAGTTTTCTTATGCTCTCTTAATGGAAGATTTAACTATCAATTTACTGCTGTTCTAATAGTGCACTATAGTATACCAAGCCCTGGGTTTGCTTTATATCGTTCAATTTAAAATCTTGACATGTAAAAGCAAAAACTTGTCATTGTACTTTTGAAGGTTTGATTAGAATTTATTACAAACATCAATAAACAAAAGTTAAGATGAAAAATGGAACAGATTTGAAACGAAATATGTCGTATAATACTAAGTTAAAGAATATATAAGAGTAGAATGAATAAATATTTATATTTTATTTTGCTTGCAGTGTCCCATGGCTTGAAAAAGGCTTTGCTTGATAGCAGAGTCGGGCAGCGTGGCTGGAAATATGCAGCAGCCTTGGTGGTCCATTTATTTACTGGCCATTTTCATGTTAGGATTGGACTCTAAACTTGTTGGTAAGTGAATCATAACATGTCGTTATTCTACTCAGATCGAATCAGTGTTTCTTTAGAATATTTTCTAAAACCATAATTGGGTACTTCCTTTAATCAAATTAAATTATTTTGACTGTTCAATACAATAAAGTATTAAAAAACAATCACACTTTCATTAATTGATTTTTTGACCAACTTAATTTTAATATATTCCACCATTTTTTTAATAAGTATGCAGATAGACGCTAAAAAAACGTGATGCCACTATATAAAATCTCGTTCAATATTCATAGAAATTTGTTGTTTTTGACAGTTCGAAAAAGTATTGAATTTGACTATTTGGCAAGCACCCAATTCAATTAGGTAAATAATTTTTTGTAGAGTCCATTAAAAATACGAATCCATTTTGTAAGTAATATAAATTTATTAGTTCACAAAACACAGGTCTAAAACTGTAATACACTAACTAAAAATATAACCAACAGCCAATGTACGTGTACACTATACAGGTACACAAACTAATAATGAAACAATTTTCAGGTCAAGCATTCCAGCCAGAATTTGCTGAACCGTTAATGAATTTAACTGTACCTATAGGACGAGATGCAACATTTAGATGTCTAGTACAAAACCTTGGAGGATACAGAGTAAGCAATAAACAAGAAAAAATAGAAAAAGTATAATTGCCTTCAAATAAAAAACACAATACTAATTTGCAGGTTGGCTGGGTGAAAGCCGATACTAAAGCGATACAAGCAATCCATGTTCACGTAATAACAAACAATCACCGAGTCGGAGTGTCGCATAACGGTCAGACCGTTTGGAATTTACACATTAGAAACGTACAGGAGGAGGATAGGGGTCAATACATGTGTCAGATCAATACAGACCCAATGAAAAGCCAGGTAAGGTTGATAATAAATAAAATTAAGTAGCCTAAGTGGACATCATTGCGTTCCAGTCTAGCTGCTCTTCAATCAGCTCACCCGAATGTTTATCACTACTTTCGTTTCCATGTTCCTTCCGTTTATTGTAACCTCGAATACGAACTTGGCGATACAAAAACTCTCTCGTCATTATTTCTGGCACGAACATCCGTCTACTACGGAATAATGTTCGATCTGTAGGACCCCATGAGTTTTTAGCCTTAAATAGCCCACGAAAATTACCAGAATTAATATAATGGAACATTTGAGTCAACAATCCAACCATTATAATAAAGAGATAAGTACTCAATAGTATGTAAAATATTAACAAATCAGTAGTCATAGATATTGCGTCAATGTAATATGACTCCTCGTACTCATAAGTTTCGATTACTTCCCAACGAGTATACAAAATAATACATATGAAAATCGGATTCAAAAGCCAAACTATTTTTAAGAGATGATTCGTTTTGATTCCTATCATAAATACTATGTCCACAGTATGTTTCTGAATGCCATAAAACCAATACAAAGCGATAGAAAATAATAAAGAATTAATTGCTTGAATAAGTTCTGTTGCATCTGTCAGTATGGCCGTAATGTCGGAACACAGAAATGGCAGAGTACAAATCATAATAAAAATAAACAGTAACAAACAAGAAAGTTTTGTGTATGTCCTGACTATCTCGTTATTTTCTAAAAATTCTTTTAAAAACAAATATAATATCCAAAAATTTATATATAGACAGAAAAAACCAGTTGAAAACCACAAAAACCCCCAAACTGGTAAGCCATCGAAATAGATCAGAATTTCCGACATTGATGCAAACATTGCAAAGAATGGGTTGGTTCCTAATTCTATGACATTTTCTTCTTCTCCGTGATAATACGACATTGTTTTGATTCCACTGAATGAAATAAGTGCTAGCATAAATGATATAAATAGTGAAAATAATGGCGTGCTTATAGCTGTCATTGTGGCGGGACTACGAAACGCTACGTCACTTGTTAAGAAATTTATAATACCATATCCAGTGCCGACCGATAGAAAACCTCTCGTAATCGTCCTATAACAATTGACAAATGTATAATTATTCCAGTTGATAGTATATTTGGAAGCATACCACGTTCCGCTTGTCGACAATGCCACACAAAACAAAATAAGTATCACAGCACAAACGTAAAATGCGGCCAGCTTCACCACGATTTGAATCATTTTTTCATTCTTGATTGATAACACGTAAACTGATCCGCATACTGTTAATAGCGCCACAATTGTTTTCCAAGGAACAAGACAATATAATCCAAGTTCCAATGTACAGTTTCCGCCTATTTCGCGCTCGAAAAAACAGTTGCTCGCAGTTTTCATGCCACAATCGTCCTCAAATAAAATTTGAGCCTCCAGGCAATGTTGGAAAACAGTAACATTAACCCGTTTCACCATACATTTTGTATCTCCGAAGTCATCGCAAGTAAGCCAGGGCGGGACGTCCAAGGCAGAGTAAAATGTGTAAACTAAATACCAAGATGTTAACACAAGCAAATATATTGTTTTCAACCAAATCAAAAATAATGTGCCGTATCCCACATTGCGGAACAGTGGGAAGAAATTCCACATGGTAAATATATTGCTATTCGTATACTGAGCCAAACAGATCTCCGAATATGCTAGCGGCATCCCGACCAAGACGACTGCCAGCGTTTGCAGTGCTAGTTGAGCATAAAATCCACTATGTGATATCGAAACTGGGCAGAACATTACTGTTAACTCGTTCATCATCCATGCCCATAGAACAAGTCTGTAATTACTGTAACTCTCCCACCGACTGATCAATTTTGGACAAAAGGATCCGTCTATTACCTCATCCAGAAACATTTTTCCAATACAATATTATGAAATGCCAATAATAAAATTTTGAAATGCCAACCTAATAGGCCGTCAACATCCATGACCGTGTAGATTGACATTACTATTGTCTATATCTTATCGTATTATTTACATCGCCATGATAGCTCCAAATAAAATGAAATTAAATAATGGCGTAACATATCGGAGAAAATTAAATTGCAGTTAAAATAAACATTGGGGAGATAAAGTGAATTAAGCCACGCAGACGGGAGTGGGCGAGGGACGCAGCGGGTAATGATTCGTGCATGGTGCACCTAAATTATTGCGCTGCGCTGTAATTTATACCCGGAGCTGATAACGACATAAATCGCCAGCGGCGACAGCGCTCGAGGTTTCGACTCCGACGCTGACGCGGCATGACGCCACTTGACGCAATGTACTTTCGATAATTGTTTCACATTGTTTGTTGTTCTTTAACGTTAATTAATTACACTGTTAACGTTATTTAAGTGGAGTTGTGTCCGGATTAATTAAAATTCTTTTGGAACGATTCCTATCACGAATTATTTTAATAATTTGTCATTATTATGATTACGTTTTGTCCTAAATAGACGTACCATAATTATTATATTAGTGCGTTAAACTTTTTTTTTAGTTTTCAACATTATGCTTTTTTCCAGATGGGTTACTTAGAGGTGGTAATCCCACCAGATTTTATTCCTGAAGAGACATCAGGGGACATAATGGTGCCTGAAGGTGGCACTGCCAAAGTTTCTTGTCGAGCGAGAGGCATGCCAGAGCCCCGTGTCCTCTGGAGAAGAGAAGATGGTGCTGATATTGTTATCAGGGATCCTAATGGGACTAAAACAAAAGGTAGTAAATATACTAAAATTTAAAGGAATACATTTCCTTTGCAGACTCTAAGTCTACTGATTTTCCTTTACATAAACAGGCTAACATTAGTGTGTCGAACTATATGAATATTTCATTTAATTCCATTGAAAAAATCTTTAACATTTAGAATATTATTATAGAATCAATTTTCCATACAGTTGCGATGTACGATAAAGAGGTGTTGGCACTGACGAAAATATCACGTTCGGATATGGGTGCATATCTGTGCATCGCGAGTAACGGTGTGCCACCCTCAGTCAGCAAGAGGATAACTATTAAAGTACATTGTAAGTATAAGTTGTAAACTGTGCAAAAAATAAAAATAAATTTTAATGCTTCGATATTTCCAAGCATCTACAAAATATGTATGTGCTACAAAAAACAACATCAACTTATACCTCTACAATACCAATAAATTCATGTTTTCTTGATAACAATAACAAGACTCAAGTAGCAATTAGGATCTCAAGGCGAACATTTTTCCCAAAAACTGTTTTAGGACCAAACTCATTCTGAGGACGAAATAGGTCCACAGAAAATTCGTAGTAATTGTTGTTTATCTTGGCAAGTTTCGGAGGATTCGTGTTATTAATGGTGTTATTTAATGTCAGCGAGTAGTAGCTTTTAATTATTTTCTGGCTGTAAGGGACTGTTTGTGTCTTCGCGTCAACTCAAGCGGACATTTCGCTTTTATGCAAGATTTAACTTTAATATTATTAGTCCACTTTTCTTGAACAGTTGAACACGAAAATTGTGTCTGCATTGTGCACTGTTGTGACTACTATAAGAATTATTGCTAATTCTTGTTGTTTTGGTTTAGTCCACCCGGTGATTCAAGTGCCTAACCAGCTGGTTGGGGCTCCACTGGGTACTGACGTCACCATCGAGTGTTACGTCGAATCTTCACCAAAATCCATCAACTATTGGGTTAGAGATTCAAGTGAGTATTTTTTCAAATTACCTTCTTATCTTGCAATGTAAACCAATCAAGAACATTGTTCCATCTTATAGCCAATTTTATTCTGTATTCAAAATTTGCGTACCTGTTCATATTTTTGCCAAGTCCGCTGGTTTGAATGCTTAGAACCAGAGCAATGAAAATTTACTTTAACTTTTACTGTTTCAACCATTTTCTATTTAATTTTGAAAAGGTTTTAACCACGTTATCTAACTGGAACTGTTACTGTAATTCAAACAAATTAGCGGAGATTTTATTAACTTTGTTATAGAATTGTTTAATTTGAGTTCTTTAAATAGTATAACGTTTTTTTCGTCGAGTAATGATATAGATATTATGTTTTTTTCTGATACTCTCTTTAGGTTTTAACATTTGTATATAAATTGGACTATTAGGTAATATTAAAAATGTAGAAAGTTTGCAGCTTTAGTGGATATTTTGACCAAACGAGTTATAATAAGCTGGTTGTAATTTATTTAATAACATTTATAGAAATTATCAGTTCTATGTACATAATAAGTACAGTAATTCTTGCTGTTTATGTATAGAAAGCATCCCTTACTATTTGAGTGAGTATAATATTTCACCTCCACAGTTTCACAGTATGCCTTTGTTTCGCAATTAATGCATAAATGCGACACTAAATTAACAAATGTGCACGCGGCGTATCCCGTTGTCATGGTAACATGATTCATTTTGATTTGTTATTATAATAATAATTTCATTAGACTGAACTTAATTGCCTACTATAGCAATATGTTAATATTATAATGAAGAATGATAATGATATTATATTGTTTTTAACAATATTGTCTTTGTTCATAACGTTAATTGTAAATGAGAGTATTAAATCTGGTAGTTTTGAGCTTAATTTCTGAACAATATTTTTTTAAGTAAATACGTAACCTATTTCATGTTTTTAATCTAAAAAATTACGATTCAGAATTACAGTTATATTCTTACTAACCTATACAATGTAATATAGACTACATCCTTTCAAAAAATTGAGACAGAATTTTCGTAGAGAAAAAAAATATCTTGTTTTTTTCCAAAGTATATCAAAAGCCGTTAAGTAACACAGATTGTGTTGTGCCACTAAGATGGTGTCGTGTCCAGCTCATTTTAGTGCTCCTCTGGGACTTCTCGGTTACCATAGCAACGGCACGCAAGTGACCTCTAAAACACTGAGTTTAATCGCAATTGCACTAGTAATTTAGTACGACATCACTTAGGAAATGGTATAATTAGGAATTAGATTTGTTTTAATAGAAACTCGACTTTGGTACTATTACGTTTTTAAACTTATTTTACTTTTTTCTTAAATAACGCAACGTTATTCAAGAAGTAAATTAGTCAACGGCGACTCTTAATGTCTATTAGGTACTTACTAATGACATTTTTCGTCAAGAGATCTCAATATAACACTGAAGAAAAATCACCATTTAAAAATTTACGCTTCATTAAAATGATACCAACGAAAAGAAACAATGATAAGGAAGGAAAACCATGCTGAAAGAATTATCATTTAAAATCATACAACGACATTGACGCCAAAAAATCGAGCAAAAAAAATCCTAGGTGAAATGAAAAAAGTCTGCTTGTAATTCAAATTTTTTGGCTCGGGCCACACCGGGGCGGGGTAACGCTTGCAAGTAATGAGATATTAACTTTTAATTTACGAGTGCGTCGAGTTTTAGTCTTAAGAAAAGTGACCTATTGTGGTGAAATAAGACAATGGTCGTTAGTTCCAAGTGACTGGACACGATCCTTTACGATTCTCTTCACAATGCCTTTATAATTTATCACTTAAAGACTATATTGCGGACGCCATTAGCTTTTATGTAGTTCACTGTTTTAAAAATATCTATTAGAAATATATCGTAAAGTTAAAGACTGCGTGCAGCTTATAGCTATTGTTTGAGAGCATTTTTCTGTTCAACGTTGTATAGTTTATGAGTAATTATAGTTTATAGTATTTATAGATCCAATCTATACTCCTTAAAGTAACAAAGACTGGTTGGGAGATTTATCTTTACTAGTATCCTAATTAAAACATATAAAGATTTAATCTCTTGATTCGATTAAAATTTTCCGAATATTTATGTTTTTCTCACGTAATTTTTTGACAAGGAACTCGACTAGTTTCAAGCCATGCTATAGTCTTATATTCTACATACAACGACGTGTAGCAGCACGACAGTCGCCGCGTTGCGGAATGCTGCTCATCAGTAGGAGCCTTTTTCTTTATCATCTTAAAAACCAATTTTAATTGTAAAATAGTAGTCTCCTAACAGAAATCCTGTTTCAAAATTAATCCTCCCAAACTATCGATATAACAGTACCTAAATTATAGACCCACTATAACTAGATTTGTATCTAGTCTAGTTATCTTAGCATGAAGTCTGAAGGCAACACACCAAGTTAACTGGCAGCACAAACATTCCACCAACTCCAGTCAAGCTTTTGATTCGGTAAGTTTCTGCTTAAGCGACCAAGCCGACCGACGACTTACTACCAACTACATCTCTACACATTGATGTTTGGGAACTAGAATTAGGACATCATCAGCGATCAGTTGTAGGATCGGACACTTGATTTTATTTACTACACACGTAATGAGTTTACTTACATGTATTATTGAACTTAAAATGGACAAATAAAAACTATTCTTTGATAAATGACTCCAAAAATAATATTACGCACTTCAGTCGGGGGTACAATGTAGTCTAATGACAATAATAAACCAATTTCGATCACACACCTACACAATCGACCCGCACCGCCACATAGTACCTACTCACGTAAACATAAAAAACCGCTATCAAAAACACAAAATGAAACGCAATCACTTTAAAAATCTCGCCCAGATTGACAATGATTCAAAGATGTGCCCTCAAATATGGGATATTTGACTGAACTCAAGTGATCATTACACACTTCGTGCGAACAAGGTTATTCGAGCACGAAATGTTCGTTTATTCAACTGATGAATCCATATTTTATTCATATTCTCATGTATGAGGTGTGGAAGGCCGTCTATGCAGGCTCCCTCCTGAATTTCATATAAAATTCTTTACAGATGCCGAGTTTTCGCATAAATCTTTTTATGTGCTACTGATATTAGGAGTTGTCATTCGAATGTTCTTTATCAGTTCGTGGTGATGATGTGGAGTTATATTAAGGAGATTTATGTCGTGTGCTTCTCCATTTTTGCTGTCAATATTCAAATAAATTGATGAGGGAAAAAACTAGTTACTGTTTATTTTTACGTAAGTTAAAAAAATAAGTACGTGTTAAAAATTACTCTGAATGGTAATCTGTAATCTTTTCTTCATAATCTTTTTTTATGGGTTAAGCTGGTGAACAAGCACACGAATCACCTGATGGTAAGCAATCAGCGTTGCCCATAATAATAATCTCAAAACACCTCACTCACACGACGAAACGCAACGCAAGCGTTGCTTTACGTCGGTTATCTGTGAGGCCGTGGTATCACTCCGGTCGAGCCGGTCCATTCGTACCGAAGCATGACTCTTCCACACTTAATCTCCTCTAATTATTGGCACTAAATACATAATTATTCGTGTTTACGAATAAACACAAAAAAAATCTTCTTCTTCATAATTTCTCGTACCTACTTTCTTTCACCTTCAGCTTACACAAGCAAAAGCATCCACCGATACAGTACCATAAATAATCGAATACTTTATCAGTTATCCTTTACATTTACAAGCATCTGGCATTGATTCTAGTTATGCAACGTACATACGGACAGACGACTCGACAATACTCACGCAACACAAAATGATGACATAAGGAATGGAGATTACGTGATTTCGTGTGACAGCCTGGCGTCCCTACACGAACTTCCACATTATTGTGGCTACACAGTTTTTTTATGAGAAAAATCGTCACGGTATTGTGAAAATTGATAAGTGTAAGAGTCTGTAAGACTCTTTGGTGCTTGCCATCAATTGCATAGAGATGTAGGTACATCATAGTTATATGCATGGTTGCTTTTGTTAATTGAAAAAATAAAAAAAGGAAAACCTCAAGTCTGACAATGCAAGTCATAGATGAATATGGTATTCTTATTACTTATCATTATTAACAATAGTGCAGAATATCTAAGTTTTATGTTTGATTCACAAGAACAATCACAATATTTAATAATAAAAACATGTCATTATTTTATATCTACCTTTATAGCTAAAAACAAAATCGAATGTTTTCAGAACTACTAAATAACACAATTTGAATCGCGTTTCCCGTAATAATATCAAAGATCAGGGTTCAATAATCGGTCCCGTCACGCGACTGGGAGCTCGTAATACACTCGTATAACCCGTGTCCCATATTGAAAAGTAGAAAACATTACCAACGTTATCATAATAAAAGGCCACATGAAATCCACAGTGAAAAATCCATTAACACTTATCCGGGCGTAAAATAAACCAAAGTAAATTAGGTTGGTAATAAAACAATAAATTCTTTGGCGCCATTCCTTTTGATAATAAGATGTTCTGTTGAAGCAGTGTGAACGTCCATAGTCATATTATTATCATTATATTCACGACGAATAATTGTGTGTCTGATATTATGTGTGTAGCTTTTGTTTTTAGGCCTGAATGCAAATACTTTGATCTCATTTTTTTTTCGTATTACCTGTGCCCCCTGCTTCGTTTGTATGATATAGTGAGTTTCGATAGTTATTAGCATAGCTTCTCCCCCTTAGGTGATAACGTAGCTATGTAGCTATGCATTCATGCAAAATTTGAAGTAAATCCATGCTATACTTTTTGAGTTTAGCCCGGACATACATACAGAAAAATAGACAAAAAGTTTAAAGATAGTTAGTCGGAATCTGTAAATAAGCAATACATTTTTATACGCAATACATATTTAATCCTAGATTATTTAATCTAAATAGTTTAACCTCTTACAAATGTAACCAGTGAATACAGTAACCAGTGAATTGTGAACAGTTTCACAAGGCATTCTGCATCAATAGTATTGGTAGATTTAAAATTAAAACTGAGCGTCCCTCCAACTGAGAGACAAGAAATAAAAAATGATTTGAAATCTGAATATATGGTTTTACCCGAAGTTTAAGCTTGGGTGTAAAGTCACGCCCTGTGCTACTTGTTTTTAAAATTTCAATCATCCATAAACAAAATAATAGACACGTAAACTAGCCACAAATATGACGTATCAAAATCAGTCCGTTCACGCAGCGAAGTAATGAGCTGGCGGGATCTCGTGGCTCGTGGAGTTACTTCATTCGTTCCGTTCCCGCCCTCGCTCAGCGCCGTCGGCGGTTTCACGAAGTTCCCCATTCGGCACTTGTCGCGCAAAATTTACGGGTTAATTTTCAATGGGACTGGGTTTTGAGCTTCTGGAAATTTTAAGTTCCACATTATGCTTGGCTCTCATCCGCAGCGGGAATGTATGACGTAATAAAGGGAGAAGTTTTCCTTTTTTTATGTTCGTTCGCGGATTTTCTGTTTATGAAATTTTGATGAATTCCGGAGTTGATTAGTTGCCAAGAGTGTCTGGATTGTGGTATAAGGCTGACACTACTTTTTGAAATGTTTTTTAAATAAATTCTAGATAGTAAAATATTATAGACAGTTATGAAAGAAATGTATGCATGTACATACATACTTACATAAGTATTCTTGATTAGTATGATACTTTTTAAATGTTCACTATTTTCTACTCTATGCGGCAACTTGGCTCCTGTAGGAGTCAGGTGGCCGGCAGGTAGGTAGGTAGGGGTCCAAATAAAGTACACTTTTTTTTTTAGAAGTAGTTCACTCTATTATTGCCAAATATCTGTTGCCCCAATCACGTCCAGGTTCGGGGTAATAGGTACGCTGAGAACACTGGCCTGAACCGTGGAGTAGCTCTGCAGGCGGTCCGGTCTCGTTCCAAATGCCTTCCAGGTCTTCAGCAGGGCCTAGGTAGTTCCCAGGTAGAAGGAGGTCTGGTCTTCCACTCGCCGCCAGGTAGATGGCTGCGATGCGAGGTTAATAGTAGAATATAAATCCGCCAGGTAGATGGCTGCGATGCGAGGTTAATCGTAGAACATGAATCCTGGAAGCGCAGATACAAGGCAAGCGTTAGCAGAGCTCGGACCACGTAGCCGGGTCCAAAGGTCACAGTGTCCCAGCAGACAAAGAAAAAAAGGAATAGCCGCTGCTAGCGAGAAATTAAGAAGAAGAAACACCTTACAATAGCAACACTTAAGCAATACATGGAAACTTACCCCAGCGGGATTCCGATTACAATTTATATAATTGATTTAAGGTAGATTTAATTAGGTAGGTAAGTACGATCTTGCAACGTAGGTCGTCCGCGATCGAGTGACACAGCCGTCACCTCTGATGCCTTTAAGTTGACTGTTCGTTGGATTTTACGAATGCCCCCGAGACGAGCCGACACGACTAGTTATTAACTCGTTTAGAGATGCGTAGGCGCAATAGAAGCGAGGACCTTTGCGTAAACAATTAATATTGGGTTCCGTAATGTTTTTATATAAAATTAATTATTTTGATGCGTTTTAAATTAGTAAGTAGTAAGATGTGTTTCTATTTGTTTATTTAGTGTATTTTAATAATAGTTTTAGAATAATCTATTGTAATTATTTTTAATTTATATGGTTTCGAAGCTATTTTTAGGGCAACAAGGTACAACGTTACATCTACTCTAGAAATTACCCTCGGAGAACCTAACGGGCTACCAGGATTCCGGCTCCAAGTGCAGGAGTAGGAACGGGGTGGTTTTTAGTCAGTAAGAGTCTGACACTCCCTTCTCATTCATTCACACAAGTCATTGGATGATTTTCCACCCTTAAAAAAAACTCTCGAAATTATTCTATAATCATATATGTTTCGGCTATTTACAATAATACAATAATATTGAACCCAAAAATAAAACTAAACAATCCACAACACATTGCGACCTTCACTGTGACTACAAATTTTCAGCACACAACCGCACCAAGTATATGATCATTAAAATATTACACAACAAGTAATTTACACCGATGCTGACTTGCAACTAACTATACACTCCAACTTTACCCAGACTGATTCTATAGCACGAAAATTAATATCAGTTACTTGTTTCATAAAGGCACTTTCATTCTATCGAACCATAATATGCAAAGAGTTACACAATACTAATTTAGAAGCACAACAAGTACATTAGCGGGATCTCACTATATTAATTAAGTTACGCTAATAACGCCGAGCCATGTATTTCACTCACAGACAAATGCGAGCGAGATAAATCATCTGTTATGATTAGCTTTTACGATGTACGAATGTTACACGATAATAGATAAATTTGACATATTATTGCTACTATTACGAATACTGCTGTGAAACCTAAGTTTGACGTTGCAATTGCGTCCAATAATTGAGTGGTCTCGTCAACATTGTTATTGTTTGTTTCGACAGTTTTAGCTATTGAGAATTGTAAGATTTAGAGGTATAATAGAGGTAGAGTCATTAGAATTTAATCATCGATGCGAATACTTAGGTACTTGATGTTAATCATTAGCTTTACTTTTGGTTTTGTTTAGAATATCATGCCCAATAGTCATGCTTCTTAGTCCTCATCCGACGGGACCTAACATAAACTAAAATTAGCATGTCAATAGATCTGCGCACACCCATTTACCCACAAGCCGTATCTCAGTAATAAGTAGCCCCTATGTTACACATAATTTCATTACCAAGCATGGTTTGTGGTCGCCTTTAGCACACGAGTGCTTTGTTCGCTTAGTCCATTACGTGGCTTCGTACAGCTCTCTGCGAACCTCAAGGGAGTCCAGTAACAGTCATAATAACTTCTGTCGAATGGTCGATACAGTTGCTCTTGCCATTCACACAACTCAATATTATCTAGTTGTGAACTTGGAGAACGTAATGCATACTTTACAACTTGTGTAAAAGTAATACTCCGTGGAAATGCATTTGTTTTAGAATCGTATCTAGACTGGGATATTCTCGCGTTTTATGTGTGTGTGGACACGAAATATAGGAGTAGCACAGAAATACGTTTAAATATGGAGTACTGTAATTAAATTTAACTCTAGCTCGAAGGAGGATAATAACTTATCGCTTTTGTTAATTGTACACTTAGCTTAGACTGTCGTGTATTACAAAGAAACCAATAAAGAGCATGATGTGAACTTTCAAGTCTTTAACGTGGTTTAATGACGGGTTCAGTAAATTTTATAAAATCAAATATAGTTTATATTGAAGTAGGTACCTGATGTAAAAATAAAAGCAATCACGTTAGAACAAACGTATGACGCTATATTTAGAGTTCAATTTATAACAGCTCCGCGGGCTAATTATTAAAACACATTAAGGTCACAAGTTGTTTTACGTCTGCGTTATGATCCATGGGGGCATTGTCGACCGGGGTACGCAGCCCTTTGTTTGGCCGCCAACTTGTGCTCGATGACTGGCGCTTTCACTCCGGCCCACTTCCAAAACCAGCCCCAAAGGGTAACACTACAGAATCGTCATTTTCGTTTGTCATCAATCTATGTTAGGGTTGCTGACATGTAAGTGTTAATTAAGCAGGCCTCACTCGAGCGTAATTAAGAGTGTTACAGTGTTATTTTAGACATTAATTGAGATGAAATTTCTTGTTATAATGAAACGAGTAGACTTCGAGACTGTCGAGTAATTTCCTCCGAAGGCCATCTTCGGCGTACGTCGTTAAGTCGAAGCACACTGGAGAGTAAACAAACCGAAGTTTCGATCGGAATGAAGATTAAGAAAGGCGTTACTGGTGTTATCGTTTCCTTATAAAGTTCATAGGCGACGAAGCTTAAATTAATGCCTTTATAAATTGTGGTGTTAAATATTGTGTAAATATTTTGGCCAGTATAAATAGTGCGATATTTTATTGGTTCTAATAAAACGTTGTGTTGAAAGGAGTGTTTAACGGGACGGGCGCTGTGTAGTGTTTTCGAAAGAAAGCCAGTCGCTTTATCATTTGCGGACAACAGGCGGTAGAGGCTTACCACAGCTCCGAGGCAGCGAACGACATACTTACGTACCGCAATGTAGGGATTGTTTGGGCCACCTCTCTAAAGGGGTCTACCAGGAAATGTCGGCGATTTGGAGCTTCTTGAAAAATATCGTTTCCCCTGCAACGGTATTTTCTGAGGGACAACTGAGACATTGTTTACCTTATCTGGTAAACACTTTAGTTTGCCACAGCTGGATTCAATATAAATGTACGCGAGCTAAGGAGATTTCACATTTTTCACGGAATAACACATATTTTGTCTTACGATTCAAATGTATGTCAGAATAATAACTGAGACCTCGTATCTGTATCATATTTCAACAAAGCCACGGTGGCGTGTAATACGGTGTAATAGATTATTGTATGAAAACTGTGAGGTTTTTCTTATATCTTACGCAAAATATTCATGAAATGGAGTGTCAAGTAAAAGAAAACTGAAGATGTAATAATTCTTTTTACGAGTTTCTTCACGCAGAACTGAAAGAAAAAGTTTGCAGTAAACTATTTTGCTTGGCCCAGAGATAGTGAAATTGTGTTATTTGAATCTGTTTTCTTTTTGCATTCAACAGTTTATTGCCCTAAGTTTCTTAGAACTTTACTTTGTTATTATGTTTACTCTAGGGCTTGCTGTTAAGATTCTTTTTTATCTCTTCACTTAATTTTGTGCCACTTTGAATGGAATGAGGTTTTTATTGTGATAACATTTTTTGTGCAGATGAAATGGTGATATCATCAAGTAAATATGAGGTGGTGAATACAGTGATGAGTTCTTTCGAGAGTCGCATGGCGCTGACAGTGAGAAGACTGACGTCAGCAGATGTTGGTGGCTACAGGTGTGTCGCGAAGAATTCACTTGGTGAAGTTGATAGCGTCATCAGGTTGTATGGTGAGTGCCTTAATAAAGATAGTAAAGAAAGCTATGTCTTTAAAAAAGAGACCCTTTTAGTTCCTTAAAGAATGGTCGAAGAAATAGCCTAGGTTTTCATCTCCAGATTGTGGTTTTTGTCCGACATTCTCGTAATCCATAACAAAATCGTATGTCTGTTACGTAATTAGAATCCACGGTGTTAAACTGAGTTTGAAATACAAATCCTGGAGATAACTTTCTTTTTAATTGTCAGTAATGCCAAAATAAAACTGTCTTAAAACCAAGCAAGAAATTCGTACAATAATCTCATTTGTATTATAACTTTCGTGAGACATACTAAATTAATTATTGTTTATGTTTCCGGCTTACTCACGTAATAAATTGACGAGGAACTCGACTAGTTTCAAGCCATGCTAGAGACTTATATACATGAGCAGCCCCGCGACGCGGCGTCTGCCGCGCTGCTACTCTAACTCTACAAAGTAAAATATGAGCCTCTAGCACGGCTTGAAACTAGTCGAGTTCTTCATCAAAATTTTACGTGAGTAATCCGAAAACATAATAATTAATAATCTCATTCACTTCGACGAAACATGTTCATTTAACGTACATAAAGGAAAAATACAACTGATAGTGCTAAAAGCATCTATTTTCAACTGTGCCTGGAAGTAGAAAACAAACAACTAAGTACCTACGTACTAGTGTGGGTTGGAAAACAACAAGTGTAGTAATTACGGTACATCGATACAGCTTGTTTAATTAAAACAAGAACAAGAGGTGTTTTACTATCTCCCTAAAACTTCTGCGGTACTAGAAAATGTTCAGTGCAGAAATTGTGTCATAAATATGTACCCTTTCTTTTGTGTCCTCTCGATTATCATTTTTGGTTTTCTAGTTACGGTGAAGGAGTATTTTAAGTTTTTGATTTTGTGATTCCCAGTCCTAAGACCAGTAATGGTATTGGATGACTATAGACTAGCAAAAAATTACTGATCTTTTAGATTTCTAACTTCATTAATTAATATAACGTGGTTGATTAACCTAATCCATTTCACAAAACATCACTATATTGTAACAACAACATTTTCGTCCACAGAAATCCCTGGACCAACAGTAAAGAACACAAGTCCAGCGAACAAAAGAGAAGAGTACAGGTATTCCACCCCCATAGAGGGGCCAGACAATCAATTCGGCTCTGCTGACAGATCGGACGACGAAGATGAACGAGACATCGGCACATACACAACTGACAGACATTCAAATGCATACAGAAATGAAAATGTAACTAGAAACAGAACTATCAATTATTTCCCAACAGCAGAACAAAAGCTGAACAATAAAGTTCGAAAAATTATTAACAAATTCGATATAGAAGAGTTTGGCAACAACAGATGTTGCGTGCATTCTCTATTCGCAATAAACTGTGTTCTTTCGTTAGGAATTATTGTAGTACTAGATTATACGTAGACACGTTTGTATGTTGTTATTGTATAGATATGAATGTTTATATTGTTAACCATACAGTACTTCGGTACTCATTCCAGTATTATAAGGCACGATGCAACATAACGTAGCCTCCAACCATAATTAATTGAACGTTTTGAAGTGGGTACGAAATTGATATTGATGAGAGAGTTCCGTAGCTATGGAAATTAATATTCTATTGACGCGATATTGGTACATTACATTATTACCTGTTAATCGAATATTTATAAAAGGTTTACTATATAACCTCATGTGTGGTATGGTATCAGATTATATTGCGAAACTATATTAATAAAAACACGTTCGGAACACGATCGATGCCGGTAAATAATGCAGCTGACGAAAACTGTGATCATTACACCCCCAACAAATCTTTGTTGGTATTATCAAGCATAATGCCCTTTTCAGATTTGACAATTGCTTTCTTCATGTTTCTTTCCTAGACAGTTTCGTTTATTTAGCCTGATCCTGAAACCCAATCATTGGATCGGTGGAATTGAGTTTTCGATTTCAAACTCAGTTGTAAAGCTAACACTGGATTTGAACCCTGGTGACAATAGTCTTTGTTTTGAGACAGAAGACTATCTATTCAGAACAAGTGAATGTTCTACATCTTATTACTTATTATCGGAAATACTAAGTGTTTGCTCAAGCGTGGGTGTACCTATACCTACGTGTTGGTTCTACGTGGTTCTCCGAAATTTCAACTTTTGTAATGTTTTGAAAACCTTATGTTCCATAATTCCCAACTTCTGTGTATTACTAGGCAAATTAATTTGTTAAGATTATGTTACAACGTTGTTATATTAACTTTACTAAAATTCTTAAGAAGTTGATCAAGTGAAGTTAAGTAGACGTTACAGGCAACAATTCATATTTTGTATGTACTATGTAAATATTTATAACGTACGTACATGTAATTTAGTGTATGTTTCTACGCTTCAATTGAAGTATATTTTAGTACTTCGCTTACCACGAGGCGAGATAGTGGTCAAACGTTAGCCCATCAAATATAAAAAACAACTTTTTTACCCCCGAAATATGCAGAAATAAACAGTATACCAGTTGGTAAGGTGGTATTGATATATCATTTCCCGTCATTTTCTTTCTCCATCTTCTTCTTCCTGATCTACACATACTCAAATCTGACGCTAGTACCTCTAGTATTACTGAGTGTTGTTTTTATCCTGATTAAAACCCCCACTGACTGTGGACTCTAGACTTACCCCTCCATTTTGTCACTTCGCTTTTTGAACATAAGTTGTATGTTTTTCATGAAATATTTAGCTTCATTTTAATTATGTTTTTTCACAAGACTTTTGTGTGTGTAAAAAAGGAGCATTTAAAAGGCTTGTCTCACACCGACAGACAGGATTTTTTATTGATGTAAATGCGGCTTTAAATGCGAATCCGTGGCGAATATAACTGTGAATGGATGTTGGTGACAATACTTTGTTGAATATTTAAAATTATCATCCCATACCATGTGTTGAGGGGTTTATTTCGACTTAAATCTATACATTTGCTTTTGAATTTTTGCTTCTTATTTTATCTTCTTCTCCATTTTATGGTCGGTTTTTGTTCTGTTTTTAGACATATTATTATGAACTTTTGAAATATTTAACAATATTGTCAGCCCTTTTTTATTGTTTCCCTAAAGTTAAAAAATAACCTAATTCTTACTTTAATAGAACCTCATTAAGTAATTAATATAACTGTTACACGTAAAATTATAAACATAAAATCATCACAGATCGTATCAAAATTTCATTTCATTTCGAATTAAATTGGAAACTTCAATATTTTATGTAAATATTTTCATAATTTTGGAAACAAAAAGTCGAAACCAACACGCATTAAAACTAAAAGCAGTTTAATTCCCCTCTGTGATATACACATATATTGTAATTTGGCAACATCGAAAAACGTAATTAGCAGTTACCGAAATATAAATTCAATTAAATTTTTATTTTGGGAATTGGATCACATAATATAATATATATTTTTTAGTAAATTTTAATATAACTTTTTTTTAAATACTATAACACTTTTGTTTAGTGTTTAAAAGTCAACTCAAAATGGCTTTAAATATTGTTATTAGTTTTTTTAGTGATTAGGTACCACTGTTACTCGTATAACATAACATCACGCCTTTTATACCCGAAGGGGTTGGCAGAGGTGCACCTTACGATACTTATTGCCACTGTACAATGTTATATGTACCTACTTTCCACTATTTATGTTTTGAGTCCCATGTAATAGGGGGTTATATTTATTATTATACATAGTATAACTAGGTTACGTTTTATTGCTACATTCCGCGTTGGGCGCCAATATTCTATAGCAATTAACATTTATGTGTACTGAAAGAAAGAAAGAAAAAACATTTATTCATCAAATATATAATATATTTATACTGTACAAATATCCACTACAATCTTTTATTAAAACCTAGCTATGTTATGCTAGTGATCAATAATTGTCTGATATCATACTCTCATTAAGTTTTAAAACTACATAAGTTTCGATAAATAGAAAATATTAAACTGATTGACCAAAACCCATGACTTACATGCAACGAATGTCACCACTGCCAATACTTAACATAAGTCAATTTGTTAATTTGTGATTATAATGAACCTATAACAATAAAATACATAATATTTATAAGTCTCTCTTACATAAATACATAATATTATGTTGATACTAGTTAAGACCAAAGCTATTTATATATTGTTTTAAAAAGTAAAATTAATTCGAATTTTCATCAATACTTTTCAGATTTTGTTAATAAAATGTAGTTATTGGCCTAATCAAAAGTCATCAGATTATAATATCTAGTAAGTATGATTAACGAAATTCTATGGATTAATAGACCTTAAGCTACCATCAGTGAAAGATTTCGTTTAAATAAAATGTGATTTTAATAGGTATTTACCCATGAAATTTACGTTACGTACGAAAAAATTAAAACAATTTTTTTTTTCATGTATTTTTTGTTTGGTTTAATCAATATATGCACACATGCAATCAATGCTTCTGTGCCAACGCAGGGGCAGTTTATTGATACCCTTCTTAAAGAAATCAGTAGGACGTGAGGCAACAAATTCTTCAAATGCATTTTATACTGCCTCTTGAAACTTTTTTCATTGTAAAAGAAAAAAGGATCCATGTTTTAAAAAAATATTAATTTGAAATTAGAATTCTTAGCCAAACAAAAATAAGTTTGATTTGAAATGGCCAGTACTGCTGAACGGCAATTTCATAGGTAAAGGCCAATATTTATTTACAAATTATAATTTCAGTCACCATAGATGTTATAAAATCTATCTTTAAGATGTTATTAAGGAGAATGTGTCTAAATATATCAATAAGTGTATATATATATATATACTATATATATATATAACTATATATATAACAATAATAATTTTGTTGGGATTAGAAAATCCCAACAAAATTATTATTGCCATTATTGTAAAAAAATATTTGTATTGTTTTTGTATTTGTTTGGTCATTAACTATTTAATCCATTTCTTTTAACAAAAATGATTGGTATACACACCACACATGGTATTGATTTATAAGGTATCTGATTTATAATTTAGCTTTCATACGTAAACAGAAATTTATGAAACTCTTTTCCTATTTGTGCTTTCCAAAAACAGTGTTGGTATAAAATATTACGTTTGCCAATAATATAAAATTTTGCCTAAACACAGAATAAAATTTAAAAATAATATTTGACCAAAATTGTAGTCAGATTGTACCAAACATATAAATAAACCTATGTAAGTGTATGTATATAATGTAGAATCAAAGAATATAAAGTTTTGAATGCAAATTAGAACGTTGTTTATTGTTATATATACTTTCTTAATACTGAATAAATAAAAATTATAAAGTCTATATATTTTTCGGTTGTACAGATGTCAATAGTATCAAAGTACCTTAGGGATAAGTTAAAAATATTTTTTGTAAACAATAATTTGTATAATTTTGTGGAACTGAGTCGCTAGATAGAATACGGCATTATGAGTGAATAAATAATATTATTATTGTAAATCCATTGTTTAAATCGCCACCCTGTTTGTTTCATTGTGGTTTGGCAATGAATGTTTCATTCTGGTATGATGAAAGGAAATAGTAAGTATTTAATTAATAGACATAAAATCGCGCCTATTATCCCCGAAGGGGTAGACAGAGGTGCACACAGAAGTATCACCCTCTTTTCACTATTTATGTTATGAGTCCCAGGTAATAGGGGGTGAGCCAATTGCCATATACCGGGCACATTTTCAGACTCGACTTCCAAGTAGTCGCACTTGCGACCACTCGGCCATCGAGGCAGTAATTAATAGACTTCTAAATAAACACGATTTCAATTAATTCTAGTGACATTTAGCAAAATTTTCTTTTAACATCATTCATATTGATCTAAAACATGGTTTGCCAATGTCTTAAATATTTCTTTTACGTAATAGTAAAATTGCAAAACTGTAACAAAAAAAACTCCGCATAAGGAAAAAGTATACACTACAACAAAGTTGGACAATTTTTACACTTCATAATACCAACACCACTTTTCAAAGTATAAGAGCGAGCTAAAAATTCTTACCCGAGCTTCGGCCTACATTAGTATAGATAACAATACGTATCACGTATCCACACGCCTGAAAAATAAGTGCCAACTCTCGCAAGTCAAGTTAGGAGACGTCTTGTGGTTTGTAGCAAGTTTCGACCGATGTGGCGGATTACCCCGTCTCCTCTCATCTTCATTATACAGGAGGAACTTTTCCATTTTCACACTCCCACGAAGAGGCCGTGTTTTGTTGCTATGTATGCAAATCAGGCGCTAAGTTCACAAACAAATAAACTTTCTGGTTATACAGAGACGTTAGGTTAATACGTTGTGGCTGGCTTGTTTAATTTTGTTGAAAAAAGTATTTTCATTGAGTTTTCGGAAGGGTGGAGTAATGGTTGGGAAATGTGTTATTTTGACGATTTCGTATTATGCTAATGGGTTTCAAGTAATGTCTATACTAAATCTTTTAAAATTAAAGAGTAGTGGTATACCTATGTGTATTAT